TTCACTCAGCATCAAAGAAATGGACACAAAAACAAGACCAATATCAGATCACATACACTAATTCGAGAAAGAGTTGTCATACTAATACAGAAAACGAGATTTTTGAACTTACTAGAAAACCAGTTATTACCTGATAATACAATTTCAGTTCCTCCTGACTATTAAAATCCACACTCCCAGAATTTTCAGTAGATCCATATCCACACTCCAGCATCAAAGATTTCCCAAGAAAGTCTTCCAGAAGTGGACTTTGGCTTTGAATGTAGGCTATAGCAGAAGATGAAATTCGTGGAAGAGCTGATAGTTGCAAGAGTGCAAAACAGTGTTCTCTGAAATTTTCAACTAGTATCTCTGGAGTTGTAGGAGGAAATCGTGCCAGTGTTTCACTGCAGGCATTATCAATCCATGGGCAAAGTAATTTATGTCCATTATCCAACTTTAAGCTAAATACTAATGCCGCCTTCTCCACTGAACAGAAGACATTCTAGTTAGAAAACTCATATCATTGAATGATGTTATTGTAATATAATAACTCAGAAGAACAGAATACCCTGTTGCTGATTCCAAGATGCTGGTGTAGAGAAAAGAAGACGTGCTCCACATGCTTCGCAGGCTATGGTGTCAATATCCACATTGATCCAACCTCTACTAGCACAATTTACTGCACTCACTACCTGAAATGAAAATATCAGAAATAAAATCGTATGCCATAAAATTTGGGGGGAAAAAGATTGGAGAAAGATGACAAAGGAGGTTGGCAGTAGACCAAATTTTATTAAATATACAACCAATTCATTTCTTGACAAAGGGAAGTCATGAACCATGAGACGAGAGGCTTTCTTTATAGAAGTAGATGATATTCTTTGCAAGATATTGATAATGAACGATACGTTTTTCTTCAACAGGACTGTCATTCTTAATTAAAAGCAAACAACCTAGCAGAAAGCCAAATAGAACTAGTTTTGAGGTTCAGTAGAACAAACCTATCTTAAACAGCTTATCTATAAAGGACTGACAAATCATATAAGCCATCCATCGCCTTCTTCGTACTTACACTAGCAAAAAAGTGTTACTTTTAAAAATTCCTTCATAGTTTAAAAATAGACTGAATGGAGCAAAATTGCCCATTAGCCAAATGTTTGGTATTTTTCCCAATCCCTTTACCTTCCTCAAGCGTTGTTTCCAGTTTGAAATATGTATCTGCCTCGTATATTTTTGTTGCAACGCATGAACACCCACACACTATACTAAAAGCGTTGAAATATAACCATGACACTAAGATGGCGGTACCGCATTAATTCAAGCACAAAAATTGATTCACTAAAGGTGTGTTTAGGAGCCAAATTTTGAAGGGGAAAGAAGTGCAATTTTTTTATTTTCAATATATATATTATCAAATTTTATAATATATTAAAATGACAGATTAACATAAACTTATTGCAATGACCCTTTATTTTCACAACCTTGTTTTTCACTGCAAAACCCCAGTCCCAAACAAGCCCTTATCAGTAGGGAGAAAAGGGAGAATATAGACAGCAAGAAATGACCTTTGGTTTAGCAAACCATGACATAGATTTGAATGTAGATAGTCTCCTCATAAAGTCACCACGATCCCACGGTCGGCAGAGTGGTCCCTGCAGTGCCGTGGACGCCGCCGAGGAGGACTGCTGTCCCTCAGCAACATCCCCCCTCCGATTCAACTCAATCCCCCCTGACGGGTAAGGACGTTTCTTACTCCCCGATAACTGCACTCCAGACGAACTGCAAACACAAACACAAACACATTATTTATCCCTACCAATCCCTTTTTCCCACAAAAATTTTGATTACAGAAAACAATGATAGAGCCAATGTTTAGCACGTGCTGAAAAAGCAGACACGCTCAACACTTGAAATAAAATTCCACAGCAAAGAAATCAACAGAACTAGCAAGATGAAACACTGGGAACTAGTAACTAGAATCTAGCAAACTACACAATGTTAATATAATGAGGGTATATATAGATGTTTATCGTGATTCGTATCATGTTATTCTGAAATTTCATGGATTGCAAAGTGAGAAAAAGATCGAAGAGAGAACCTGGAGGAGGAAGGGGGTTTGGGAGGATGGAATAGCTTGTCCATGATGGAATGGAATCTCTTTTCAGAATCTTGCACCATTTTTATGTTATTTCTTCAATTCAGATTTCAAAACAAAAGATTAGAGCATCAAAGCAAACGCAAACGCAAACCTAAACGAGCGTTTCAGTTTCAGTTTGGGATCATTTCCGCTGGCCTGAACAGCTGCCACGGCGATTTCCGAACTCGCCTTCACCTGCGTCAAATTTAAAGGACCTGTTTGGATTGTGGCTCTCCTCCAATAGCAACTGTACGTATCATGAAGGTTGGATTCGCTTCACACAAATAATGCTAGGCCTATTCTTTGGGTTGGGCTCACTTTATTTTATTCTAACTCGTAACTTTCAAAATTTTATCATATGTTTTTTTTTACTTTGTTAAGTTAAAATTTATTACATTTTAATTTGTATGTTAGCTTTTAATTTAATACATATTTATTATATAAGTTATTTATTTTTATATATTTTAAAAAAAAATTGAGATATGATTTAAAAAATTAGATTTAAGGTTAAAAAAATTTGATGTTATCATATAAACAGTAAAAAAAGAGGAATATGAAAAAAAAAACAACAAAAAACAAAGTTACCGGAACCCAAAAAAAATAGAATTTTAATATAATTTGTCTTCTATATATAATTTTAATACGCTTTCTATTACCGACATGTCAGGTTTTTAAAATATAAAAATTAAACTACAGGAGAAAAAACTAAAAGAACTAATTTTAACTCCATTGATTGAATGAGTGAGTAAATTGTAACAAGTGATTTGATATTTGTTGAATGTATATAAATAAAAGAAATGACAGCAAATATAAATGATGATGATAATGTGTCAAAATATGTTATATATTACTTCAATCAAATTCTGTTACTTAGTAGATATAATATTTAATTTATTTTTGTTTTTCTCTTTTTAATGAGGAAATTGTAGCATAATCATACTTATCTATGTTTTTACATATTAAGAGAAATTAATTATATCATATTGTTTTTGGTAAATTTATGTCTTAATCTTTTTTTATCTTATCATAAAACATATAAATAAAGGAGTAAAAAATAATACAAGAATCACTTGTTCTTATTTGGTTATTACTCTATTTTTCCTTAATAAAATGTTGGATTGGGTATCAAAATAACATAACCATGTTAGAAAGAATAAGTAAATCTACAACCTTTTATATATATATATATAAACCGATTTTAAAATATGTTTAACATATTTTTTTAAATTTTATTTTTTAATTTAAAAATTAATAAATATTTAATTTAATTAAATATTTTAATATAATTTGATATATACTAATATTTTAGTAATTCACTCAGCATCAAAGAAATGGACACAAAAACAAGACCAATATCAGATCACATACACTAATTCGAGAAAGAGTTGTCATACTAATACAGAAAACGAGATTTTTGAACTTACTAGAAAACCAGTTATTACCTGATAATACAATTTCAGTTCCTCCTGACTATTAAAATCCACACTCCCAGAATTTTCAGTAGATCCATATCCACACTCCAGCATCAAAGATTTCCCAAGAAAGTCTTCCAGAAGTGGACTTTGGCTTTGAATGTAGGCTATAGCAGAAGATGAAATTCGTGGAAGAGCTGATAGTTGCAAGAGTGCAAAACAGTGTTCTCTGAAATTTTCAACTAGTATCTCTGGAGTTGTAGGAGGAAATCGTGCCAGTGTTTCACTGCAGGCATTATCAATCCATGGGCAAAGTAATTTATGTCCATTATCCAACTTTAAGCTAAATACTAATGCCGCCTTCTCCACTGAACAGAAGACATTCTAGTTAGAAAACTCATATCATTGAATGATGTTATTGTAATATAATAACTCAGAAGAACAGAATACCCTGTTGCTGATTCCAAGATGCTGGTGTAGAGAAAAGAAGACGTGCTCCACATGCTTCGCAGGCTATGGTGTCAATATCCACATTGATCCAACCTCTACTAGCACAATTTACTGCACTCACTACCTGAAATGAAAATATCAGAAATAAAATCGTATGCCATAAAATTTGGGGGGAAAAAGATTGGAGAAAGATGACAAAGGAGGTTGGCAGTAGACCAAATTTTATTAAATATACAACCAATTCATTTCTTGACAAAGGGAAGTCATGAACCATGAGACGAGAGGCTTTCTTTATAGAAGTAGATGATATTCTTTGCAAGATATTGATAATGAACGATACGTTTTTCTTCAACAGGACTGTCATTCTTAATTAAAAGCAAACAACCTAGCAGAAAGCCAAATAGAACTAGTTTTGAGGTTCAGTAGAACAAACCTATCTTAAACAGCTTATCTATAAAGGACTGACAAATCATATAAGCCATCCATCGCCTTCTTCGTACTTACACTAGCAAAAAAGTGTTACTTTTAAAAATTCCTTCATAGTTTAAAAATAGACTGAATGGAGCAAAATTGCCCATTAGCCAAATGTTTGGTATTTTTCCCAATCCCTTTACCTTCCTCAAGCGTTGTTTCCAGTTTGAAATATGTATCTGCCTCGTATATTTTTGTTGCAACGCATGAACACCCACACACTATACTAAAAGCGTTGAAATATAACCATGACACTAAGATGGCGGTACCGCATTAATTCAAGCACAAAAATTGATTCACTAAAGGTGTGTTTAGGAGCCAAATTTTGAAGGGGAAAGAAGTGCAATTTTTTTATTTTCAATATATATATTATCAAATTTTATAATATATTAAAATGACAGATTAACATAAACTTATTGCAATGACCCTTTATTTTCACAACCTTGTTTTTCACTGCAAAACCCCAGTCCCAAACAAGCCCTTATCAGTAGGGAGAAAAGGGAGAATATAGACAGCAAGAAATGACCTTTGGTTTAGCAAACCATGACATAGATTTGAATGTAGATAGTCTCCTCATAAAGTCACCACGATCCCACGGTCGGCAGAGTGGTCCCTGCAGTGCCGTGGACGCCGCCGAGGAGGACTGCTGTCCCTCAGCAACATCCCCCCTCCGATTCAACTCAATCCCCCCTGACGGGTAAGGACGTTTCTTACTCCCCGATAACTGCACTCCAGACGAACTGCAAACACAAACACAAACACATTATTTATCCCTACCAATCCCTTTTTCCCACAAAAATTTTGATTACAGAAAACAATGATAGAGCCAATGTTTAGCACGTGCTGAAAAAGCAGACACGCTCAACACTTGAAATAAAATTCCACAGCAAAGAAATCAACAGAACTAGCAAGATGAAACACTGGGAACTAGTAACTAGAATCTAGCAAACTACACAATGTTAATATAATGAGGGTATATATAGATGTTTATCGTGATTCGTATCATGTTATTCTGAAATTTCATGGATTGCAAAGTGAGAAAAAGATCGAAGAGAGAACCTGGAGGAGGAAGGGGGTTTGGGAGGATGGAATAGCTTGTCCATGATGGAATGGAATCTCTTTTCAGAATCTTGCACCATTTTTATGTTATTTCTTCAATTCAGATTTCAAAACAAAAGATTAGAGCATCAAAGCAAACGCAAACGCAAACCTAAACGAGCGTTTCAGTTTCAGTTTGGGATCATTTCCGCTGGCCTGAACAGCGGCCACGGCGATTTCCGAACTCGCCTTCACCTGCGTCAAATTTAAAGGACCTGTTTGGATTGTGGCTCTCCTCCAATAGCAACTGTACGTATCATGAAGGTTGGATTCGCTTCACACAAATAATGCTAGGCCTATTCTTTGGGTTGGGCTCACTTTATTTTATTCTAACTCGTAACTTTCAAAATTTTATCATATGTTTTTTTTTACTTTGTTAAGTTAAAATTTATTACATTTTAATTTGTATGTTAGCTTTTAATTTAATACATATTTATTATATAAGTTATTTATTTTTATATATTTTAAAAAAAAATTGAGATATGATTTAAAAAATTAGATTTAAGGTTAAAAAAATTTGATGTTATCATATAAACAGTAAAAAAAGAGGAATATGAAAAAAAAAACAACAAAAAACAAAGTTACCGGAACCCAAAAAAAATAGAATTTTAATATAATTTGTCTTCTATATATAATTTTAATACGCTTTCTATTACCGACATGTCAGGTTTTTAAAATATAAAAATTAAACTACAGGAGAAAAAACTAAAAGAACTAATTTTAACTCCATTGATTGAATGAGTGAGTAAATTGTAACAAGTGATTTGATATTTGTTGAATGTATATAAATAAAAGAAATGACAGCAAATATAAATGATGATGATAATGTGTCAAAATATGTTATATATTACTTCAATCAAATTCTGTTACTTAGTAGATATAATATTTAATTTATTTTTGTTTTTCTCTTTTTAATGAGGAAATTGTAGCATAATCATACTTATCTATGTTTTTACATATTAAGAGAAATTAATTATATCATATTGTTTTTGGTAAATTTATGTCTTAATCTTTTTTTATCTTATCATAAAACATATAAATAAAGGAGTAAAAAATAATACAAGAATCACTTGTTCTTATTTGGTTATTACTCTATTTTTCCTTAATAAAATGTTGGATTGGGTATCAAAATAACATAACCATGTTAGAAAGAATAAGTAAATCTACAACCTTTTATATATATATATATAAACCGATTTTAAAATATGTTTAACATATTTTTTTAAATTTTATTTTTTAATTTAAAAATTAATAAATATTTAATTTAATTAAATATTTTAATATAATTTGATATATACTAATATTTTAGTATTGTAAAATATATTTTATTCGACTAAAAGAAGCAAAAGATATTTTTAAAAAGCTAAAACAAAAAATGCAAAAAGAAAATTAAAAAATTAAAAAGATATAAATATATTAACAAATTTTCAAATCCATTTAATATAATTTTTATTTTTTATTTTTTAATTTAAAATTTAATAAATATTTAGTTTCACTTAATATTTCAATATAATTTAATATATTTTAATATTTTTAAGATATTGTATTTGTGACATCCCAATATATAGCAGATATATATGCAAAGACATCACCAATTTATAATATTAGAAAGCAGTTAAGAGATGTACTTAAAGCATTATAGATTACAGTCTTTCAGAATTTACTAAGAAATTAAAACTTCAAGCAATAGAGTATTCCAAAATATGTCCAGAATTTGAAACTTAAAACATAACAAGGTTCTTCAAAATGACATAAGAGAACTAAGAATTCCTAGTGACTCTAAACTGCAGCATCATCTTCATTTCTCTCCAATGTTACCTCCAAAGAAACCTCATCTTTCTCTGCTCACATCCAAGTGGATGATCATTGCAAAAGAAAACACATACAAAAAAGCACACAAACAAGCAAAGGTGAGCTAATTATATAAAAGCATGCATCATATCAAACACATAACATACAAGAGTTAACTTAAATCAAAGTAGTTTAAGGCATACATCCTAGCATGTTATCTTCTAGACTTGACTCGTCCGGACTTTAGAATGATAGTCGAGCTATGGCGGGTCCTGCACTCGTTGTGACTTATGAAACTTGGGTTCCCCATCCTGCCACACTCACGAGGTTATCCTGTTCCGGGCCTTGAGGCATACTGGAAGCCCCCAAGACTAAGACCTCCTGCTACTCCTCACCACATGGATTAATCCCTCTACTTGAGTATGATTAGCCATTGGAGTTTCAGAATGACCCCAATACTGAGCTCCTACTTTCATTCTAAAACACTAAGGATCTCACCAAGAGATCCTACACAGATGGAACTTGATTTACAACTTGGATCATATTTTCTTCACTTTATAATCATATACTTTCTGCCACAATTAACATATACACAATCTCAACATTATACATTACTCACCACTCACAAATTATAAAAATAACATCTTCACAATTGAATCTAAGTTAATCAATACCAAGAATCAAACAACTCCAACTAACCCATAACAGCTCATAAAATACATCAATTTATACATACCTACAAGTAATTGTGTTTGTTTGTATCAAGTACAAGCAAATTTCTAACAAAATTAAGAAGAGTAATAAAATACTCTCATGATGGAAGAAGATAAATTTTGCTATAAGGTTCTTTGGACTGAAAAATATTGACGTTATCTATCAATAATTGATTGACAAAGTATTCACTGACTTCATTAGTAGCAGGTATACGTGGATGACATTAGTTTCTTGTCTCGTTTAATCATCCTAAACATTTAAGGACGGTACTCGATAAGGTATGCCTTCACAACATGAGACTTAATCTTGAAAATTGTTTTTTCAGGGTGGGTGGGGACAAATTCTTGAGATTCATGATAATCCATAAAGGAATAGAGGTCAACTTAGACAAGTGTGAGGTCATATTCGACATGAGAAGCCCAAACAATTTGATTGAGGTTCAAAGTTTAAATGAAAAATAGATAACCCTTTTAAGTTTCTTAGTGTGCTTGGTGTATAAGGCAAAACCTCTATTCAAGTTGTTAAAAGGGGCCTATACATGTTGTTGGATTAAGGAATGTGAGAAATTGTTTCAAAAGAAGAAGAAGGAGATAGCCACACTTCGAATTTTGAGTAGTCCACTAGGTACCCCTTTGGCATTATATATGTTAGTATATGGTATAGTCATACACTCGGTCCTCATCATGGAGGAAGGCAAGGCAATACCCTATGTACTTCACAAGTCAAACCTTTTTAACCAAGTGAAGAATGATACCAAACTAGAGTGAAGCTAATTCTAGCTCTCGTCTTCTCAGTTTGGAGATTTCGATATTACTTTCGAAGCTTTAATACATGTGTTTGAATAAACTATCCTATAAAGCAAATTTTGAAAAAATCCAAGCTCGTTGGTCGGATGACAACTTAGTCGGTTGAACTCTTTGAGTTTGGACACACTTATCAAGTTCGTGGACCAATGAAGACACAATTCTTGGCCGAATTTCTAATACAGCTCCCAATAACAGGAGAAAGCCACGATAGGTGGTTGTTAAGTGTAAGTGGCTCATCAAATAAAAAAGTAAGTGAACCTTAAGCGATATTTGTAGAATAATAAATTTTGTTCACTTTTAGTATATGAAATAATCAAGAAGAGTATGAGGCATTTATGGTTGACCTCCATCTTGCCCACAAGCTCAAAATAAAGAAGTTTCAATGTTGAAGTGACTCTTAACTTATCACTAGTCAAATAAAGGGAGAATACCAAGCTAAAGAAACTTTACTATAGAAATACTACTACTTGGCTAAGGAACTCATTGAAAGGTTTAAAGAGTTCTAGATTCACCATGTTCCCCGAGAAGAAAATAATCAAAGCAAAATATTATCCAAATTGGCTAGCATAAAAAGGTTGATAAGGACTCTAATCCAGAAAACGCTTTCAACCTGAAGTTGGAACCAGGAAGAAGTAGTCTGGAACTTGGTTGTCACACCCAATTGGACGACTCCCACCATCAGGTACTTAACATCGGACACGATATCTATAAACCCAACTGAAGCTAAAACCAAAAGAAGGCAAGCATCCTTTTATACTTTCCAATCATCTCCTCAAATGTCTTCACTCATAACAAACACATTATATACTCTTCAAATACCTTGACTCATAACAAGTACATTATATGTTGACAGAAATGCATAAAGGAATCAATGACATGACTCATGAGCCAAGTGCATGACCACCCAAATGCTTAAGGTTGATTACTACTAGCCTACCTTAAATAATTAGTTGTATAATTGTATTTATCGATGTCTTAAACTTAAGATTTGATTATGAACAATATTAAATACTTAAATTTTTTTTATAATAGTTAAATTTAGATAAAACTATCTTAATAAATAATATTTACAATCCATAAAAAATATATGTAAACAAGGAGAAAACCATATTTATTAATTGTTTTCTCTCTATTTTCACTATTGAATCAAATTATTTTGTATTTTATATTTAATATATTTGTGTTATGTGAAATGGGTAAAATAAGTTAAGCATAGAAAAAAAATGTAATATTGAGAAATAATTGAAGAAAATTAGATAATAAAATTATTTTTCATATAACTGTTCAACATTTGTAAGTTTTCTATTTCATTAAATTTTTGTGGTCTATTATGTTCTCAAAATTTAAAACTTTTCGTCTTTAACTTAGATATTTTGTTAATTATGCAATGTGACGTAATATTTTGTACGAGAAACAATGACATGAAATCTCCTAAAAAATTTAGTGTATTTAACTAAAATTGCTTTTAAATTTAATCACAATTACAAAATTATATAATATAAAATAAAATATATATAAAATTATAAATTATAAAATTACAAAAATAAAAAATTAAGAAATTACAATATTATGAAATTAGAAGGTTATAAAATTATGAAATAACAAATTATAAAATAAAAAAATATAAAATTAGATAATTATAAAACTATAAAATTAAAACTATCAAATCATAAATATATAAAATTATAAGTTTGTAAGTTATAAATTTATAAATTAGCTATCACTTTGGTAAAAAGAATATTTAGAAAAAAAAATATACACAAGAAAAATTATAAGGTTAAAATAATAATAAAAATTCCATGAAAAATTCATGACTATTTTTGAAAGTAAAAAGTCTTATTTAAAAGTACAAATAAAAAAATTGTTTATATATGTTTAAAATATTTAAAATTCGACCAAACTTAAATTAAGTTAAGCTAGAATATTATTATTTTAAGTCCGTGTAAAATATTTAAAATTGGACCGAACTTAAATTAAGTTAGAATGTTATTGTTTTAAGTTAGTCCAAACGAGTGTAGTTTAAGTCAAGTCCAAAGTTAGAATGAAACAAGTCTATATTAGGTTAAGTTGAGTTAAATTCATGTCAAATCAAATTTTATTGAATTGGAGTTGAACTTACTCAAGTTAGATCAAGTTGAGTTAGACCTATTTTGAGTAAAATTTGTTTAAACTCATGGTAAACCAAGTTCATATAAGATAAAGGTAGAAAAACAAATTGACCCAACCCATTTTGGCCTCACTGACCATTGGTCTACCAAAAAGTGACCTATCCATCGTAATTAAATGAATTATAATTTGTAATTCGTCTTGCCAAGAACTAATATGTTATTATATATATATATATATATATATATATTGTCTCTTATATATATTTGAGACAGTATATATATATATATATATATATATATATATATAAAGCATATTTAATAATATAAATAATTTATAAGTTTTTAATTGATTAATTAATATTTTTAATTAGATAAATTAACATAGTCATTGTTTACCTGCTAAATTATTCTATTATAATTAGTAATTGAATCTTATTTATAAATTTTAATGATTTAAGTTACAATACTATTACATATTTACATCTTAAAATAATATAATATTGAAAATTTAATATTTTAAATTATTTTTACTTTACATTTTAATTAGAAAGAGAGGTTAGTTTGTATCGTCTCACATTTGGTACGTAAATTTAATAAATATATGAGTCATGTTAAAACGGATTGATGAATTGAAAATTTCATTTTGACATGTTTCGATTTGGACAAACTAGTAAATCAACACACTAGCCATGATATGCTTTATCATTCCTAATATCATAATACATCTCGTTAAGTTAAGACAAAATAATCAAAATCAAATTTAGGTCGAATAATATTGAGTTGGGTTTAACTCAAATTACATTGAATTGAGTGAGTTCAATAAGTTCGTTTGGCCTTAATCTTACATTTAAGTTACAAACAATAAAAACAATTTATAAAGATTAATTTTTAATTTAAAATATTTTAATAACTCGTTTAGTTCTAAAAAGTATTTAAAAATTAATAAATATTTTCTTAAGTTAAAGGCGCTTTAATCTAACCATAATCCATATAACTTTAGCAGTTTAACCTTTTTTTTTTAACTGACTCAATTAGGAGATCAACAAAAGAAACATATTTTAAGAGTGGCATGATGATATACAAGACATAAGTGAAATTGCCATTTAGCATTTGTTTTTTGTTCCCTTAATTCCCAACGACCACACTTTTTCAACAATATAATTTCTCATTAAACCAGGCCCTACCCTTTTGCATGTACTTTCAAAACCAAGCTTCTGAAATGAAAATTGATGTCTGGGTAGAGTAGAGAGACCTTAGTCTTGGATGAAGGAATATTGAAAAGGACTTTGGACGGTGACTGAGCTGGCTATAGCTTACAGCTGCATGCAGTTCTGAGTGAGGTGTAGCCAATTTCTGTTTTAGCCCTGTCCTATGCCCTAGGGTGGTCCAAACTTTTCTTTGCAATTGCAACCTTACTTCCATAATTATTGTTATTTGATAATACCAATGAGTAACCAAAATAGAACTTGCTTAGGTTACTTTTCATTTCCTAGTAAGCAATGACAACTTGTCCCAATTTTATCATTTCTGAACAGGAATGAGTTGCTAGAAAAGGAAAAAGAAAATCTTCACTCAAAAAAGAAAAAAGTCAAATGTGGGGTGATTGTAACACTTACTTTTAACCTTTTGAAACTACCTTACAGAATCAAAACCATTAAACATGCTTCCATGTGAGAAACATAACACAATACTTCATAATAATTACTACTTGATAATAGTAGATTGTTGTAATTTGGTGTAAATAGTGTCCATGTATATTGCATATGTGCATGTGACTGATACTCGTGTTTCAGAAGAAGAGTTAAAAACAAGGTACACAACCCAGTTCAACCTTACCCCACTCTAATATTCTGTTTTCAGACATCTCTAGCATCATCCTTGTACAAATTCTTAGAATATGAGTTTATATTTAAATCTCCAAAACACTTCTTTAAGAATTCAACAATAATATGTATCTAGATATTTGTAGATGGTAACAAAGTTTATTAAATGAGTTTTAATACAAATGTTAAAACTTATGCAGAAAATTTAAATATTGAAGTTCTGATTGAGTCACTTGGGCAATGAATGAGAAGGTACCATTTTCAGTCTGGCCGTAGTGAGAGAGAGTTGAAAAACTGATATTGTTTGAAGTTTATAAATGAGGTGCTTGGAAGTTTGTCCTTCTTTTCTTTCAACCTTTGATATATAAGAACTCAGTTCCGTAGCAAAAGGAGTAGAAGGAAATTATTATAATGTATGATTAGTTGGCTTTTCATATCAGAAAAGCACATGCATTTTGCACTGTAGGCTGAAGAGTTGAACTTCTTAGCTATGAACCTCTTAATTGCCAACTTGTTTGGTGGACCTTCCTCTAGGAAATTTCATGCCCAGAAGCTAGGTAGTAACTGTAATTGGGTGAAATTACTTTTTCATTAGAACATGTGCTAATAGTTTGGGATAGCTCTTGGTTCAATCACTTTTTCTGCAAAGTAAAAAAACCCCTCTTAATTGCATACACACTTATGCATATATTTTCATTTTATAGTCTCATTTTCAGTCCATTATTGTGATTGCTTTTACTTTCTTTTCTTCCTTGGGAAGTTTTACTAACAAATATATGCTTCGTTTTAGACCCTTCGTTCTCTGTTGCACTGGCACTGAACGTTTTAGTCAGCACTCTGTTGCTGTTTCTGTTTTCTTGCATGTTATTGCTAGTACCATCTTGTGATCCACCCCATATTATACTTAGATTGGCCATGAGTTTTTCCTGTTCCGTTCCTTGAAACTACATATTTTCTTGAGTGGCATTTTCTGCCTTGATACTGAGAATGGCTATGAGATTTTTATCATGGAAGTGCAACTTTGTTCTTTGTTTTCTGTTCATCATTTTGTGTTGTAAGGGCAAAGACTCTTCATTGACAACAATGAAGAAAAAAGAGAAGGAGGTCATATACTCTGTTATTCAACTGTTTGTGGGAAAGTGGTGGAACGGTTCATATCTTTATCCAGATCCTTGTGGATGGACTCCTATACAGGTTTGAAATCTTGAACTTTCAAAGCAAAAAGATCAATTGGATAATGTTTATACCATTGTTTGCTTCCTTTTTCTGTCTGAATCACTTCCAATGTTCAATGGAACAGTACTGTCTTAATTCCAAACTGTTACCACTAAAACAAAGGCTGTGTTTCTATTCAGTGCTCTGACAACTTTAAACTTGAATATTTTGGATTATGTGCAGGGAGTTTCCTGTGAGCAATATGATGATGGCTTCTGGTATGTGACTACTGTAAACTTTGGACCAGTTTTTGACAACTCTCACATGTGCAGCCGTGATGCCAAATTCCCTCAACAACTGTTCAATCTGAAGCACCTAAAAGTCCTCTCTCTGTCAAGTTGCTTCCTTTCCCCTACCAAAAATCCTGTTAAGCTCCCTCTTTCAAACTGGGACAAGTTCTCACACAGTTTGGAATCTTTAACACTTAGATCAAACCCTGGTCTTGTTGGAACCATTCCATCAGCAATTGGCAGCCTCAGGAAGCTTCAATCTTTGGTACTGCTGGAAAATGGACTAATAGGTAAACTACCACCAAGTATTAGTAATTTGGTCAGGTTGAGGCAACTAGTCCTTGCAGGAAACTATTTGGTGGGTGAGGTTCCAGACAACTATGGAGGGCTTTCTGAGCTTTTAATATTTGATGCAAGCAGGAACAATCTATCAGGAGTTTTGCCATCAACACTTGGATCTTTGGATTCACTTCTAAAGCTTGATTTGAGTAACAACATGCTTGAGGGAAAGTTGCCAAAGCAGCTGGGAAGGCTAAAGAATCTTACTTTACTTGATATCAGCCATAACAAACTCAGAGGTGGATTGGCTGAGACTCTCAAAGAACTTGCTTTCATAAAGCATTTAGTTTTGTCCAACAACCCTTTAGGGGGTGATCTCTCAGGAGTCAAGTGGGAAAATTTCCTAAACACAGAAACCTTGGATCTTTCTAACATAGGTTTGGAAGGGAGTGTCCCAGAGTCCATGGAAAAAATGAAAAGGCTTAGATTTCTGGACCTCAGCAACAATAATCTCTCTGGAAATGTTTCAAGAAGTTTGGAAAATCTGACATGTCTTGGAGCTCTTCATGTAAATGGAAACAACTTGACTGGGAGACTTGACTTCTCAGAGAGGTTTTACATGAAAATGGGAATGCGCTTTGCTGCTTGGAATAATGCAAATCTCTGTTACATTGTCAAATCAAAGCACCAAGTGCCTTATGGAGTAAAACCTTGTGTGCAGAACATTACTATATCTGAAGGGTTTTCAACTGTCAAAATAACTGAAGGGAATCACGAAGATTCCTCTGTAGTGGCCTCTTTGGGAGGCTCAGGTTTTTATGGACTTTGGTGGGTTTTCACTGTAAATGGAGTTCTTAATGTTTTCCTGTGGAACATGTTATCTTAGTTCATCAGAGAAAGAAGTAGCTACAATTAACACTGATGTCATCTCTTGCCAAACAAATTTATGACCTCTAATTTCTAATACCTGCATTATGAATTTATGATGGCCCAGAAAATGTACATTCATATTTCCCTAATCAGCATATCTTCACACTCTTAAGTCGAAACTCTCACGCATATTTGATTTAACAACGAACATGCATTCTCCCGAGTTTTTCTTTCTTTTCTGATACGAAAGTAGCTATTTTCATGTTTTGCTGATGTTTTTTTCGTTAACTATATTTTTAATGTTATATAACTTAATTCATAGAGAAAACAAAAAGAAAAAACCTTAATTATAATTTATATCTCTGTATTTAATCAGCTAATTACTCTCAACAACCTTGATCTCCACAAAAAAACAGTTGAGACCAAGTCAAAGAACATTGTTACCCTTTGCTAACAAAGCTCACCCACGACCCCTAGAACGTGCTCCTCAATCCTCTCCCTNAAATGGAGTTCTTAATGTTTTCCTGTGGAACATGTTATCTTAGTTCATCAGAGAAAGAAGTAGCTACAATTAACACTGATGTCATCTCTTGCCAAACAAATTTATGACCTCTAATTTCTAATACCTGCATTATGAATTTATGATGGCCCAGAAAATGTACATTCATATTTCCCTAATCAGCATATCTTCACACTCTTAAGTCGAAACTCTCACGCATATTTGATTTAACAACGAACATGCATTCTCCCGAGTTTTTCTTTCTTTTCTGATACGAAAGTAGCTATTTTCATGTTTTGCTGATGTTTTTTTCGTTAACTATATTTTTAATGTTATATAACTTAATTCATAGAGAAAACAAAAAGAAAAAACCTTAATTATAATTTATATCTCTGTATTTAATCAGCTAATTACTCTCAACAACCTTGATCTCCACAAAAAAACAGTTGAGACCAAGTCAAAGAACATTGTTACCCTTTGCTAACAAAGCTCACCCACGACCCCTAGAACGTGCTCCTCAATCCTCTCCCTCTCCCTTGTTAACTGACTTCATTTTTCAACTTTAGGTCTCTTTTTAAGTCCAACGTGACCAACCCTACTATTATAAGAAGAACACTTTCACTCTTTGGCAGCAAGAAAGCACACACTACACTAACGAGAGCATCTTGAAATCCGAATATGGCTGTTCCCTTCAAAGCCTCATACCCACTTTTCCTTTGCTTGATTCTTTTCTGTGGCGTCAATTGCACTGAGTTTGAAGTTGGTGGTCATGGAGGTTGGGTTGTCCCGAAGACAAATGATGATGCTCAAATGTTCAATCAATGGGCATCCCAAAACAGATTCAAGATTGACGACAATCTTCGTAAGTAACACTCCTTAACAACATAAATATGTAACATGCAACAACCATTTAATTTTCTGCATAGTCAGATACATTTCTATGGTTATATTTTGTGTTTAGCAGCAAATGGGTGTGCGTGAATTATTTTCCATTCAAATGTGTTGAAAGAAGCACATGATAACATGGAGTGTTTTTTGTTGTTGAACTTTTGGAATTGTCATAGTTTTCAAGTACGAGAAAGACTCAGTTATGGAGGTGACTGAAGAAGAATATGAAAAATGTCTATCACCTCATCCCCTCTTTTTCTCCAACAATGGTGATACTGTGTTCAAGTTTGACAGAGCAGGCTTGTTCTACTTCATCAGTGGTGTTCGTGGTCACTGTGACAGAGGGCAGAAGATGATCATCAAGGTCTTGGATATTGAAGCAAGTCCCTCACCCCAATATGCAAATGGCACTGCACCAAAGCCACATTCAAAAAGTGGAGTTGCTGAACTTACTCCCATGAGGATCATGACAGAGTCCACAGTTTTTGTTTTGTCAACCTTCTTCCTTCAGCTTTATGTTTGATTCTTATGTGTTATCACAGTCCTAGGTTTATGAGTAGCAGTTTCTTTATTGTTTTCGTTATGTGTTAGTGTTGGAAGGATTGGACTTTGTTATTTGTTAATGTTTGTAAAGGTTATCATGTTTTCCTTTCTCATTTGGTAAAGATTATTCCTATGACTCAACGTGATTGCATTTATCATGAGATCCTTATTTTGGTTTACTTCAGTCGAAAATGATGCTTCTTTCATACTGAATGATGATAACGTGAACTAGTATTGGTTCTCTTTTCAATAAAAGAAAGCAGTATAAGGGCTTTTTTTTACCTGAAGGCCAATAACTTAGATTAAAGTTCCATTTCATGAATAAATAATGTAAAAATAGAGAAAATAGGTTATGCATTTTTACATTGTCATTAATCAGTAATAGTTTTTTACTCGTTAACAGTATAATATAAAAAACATTAGACTCCATCCAAGTGATGAGTTGTTTTGTAAATAAAACTCTCAAAAAACATATTTTAGAAGCGAAGTGATGTTATAGCAATAGTTACATAGAAATAGATGAATATTTGCATCCCTCCGTTTTTGCTGTTTATTTTGTTTACAAATTTTATCGTTGTGGTCATTTGAGTTTTGCTTTCAAAAGGTGATGCAAAGGAAAAAATTAATATGATTGTTAACGTTTAATTATGGTTTGAAAATGTTGATCGGGCATCATCAATGAATCTACCTCTAACTTATAATCATTTTTATTATTTTTAATTTTATAACTTGAATAAAAAATATTCCTTTATACCTTAGCAAATAATATTTTAAAATATTTCATGCTTTCTAATGTACTGTATAGAAGCTATCTTTGAACACAACTTATAAAAAAATGTATTTTAATTTTAATTTTTTATTTAACAAGTTTAAACTGTAATTAATTGTGGCGTAATCAATAGTTTTTTTGCTATATGGCATAATCAATATTTCAAAAAGTAATTATAGATATAATTACTTATTTCAAAAAAAATCATACTTAAGCTTGTATCAAAAAGGGTTTGCAGATGTCTCATATACACAATCTTGGTTAACTTCAACGAATTTGATTCATCGATAATTGTTGCTTTAATTTTATAACTCTTTTGCCAAGAGAGGTGAAAGTTATTACACCATCAGCACTACACGTGTTCAATAATTTAGTAACATAGGCCAAGTGAATTTTGGTCCATTCAATAAAAAAAATCACGTTAAGAATCAAACAAAAACTCAATTGATATTTGAGTATACAAGTTTGGAAATGATACTTCAAATTATCTTTCCTATATTTTCCTCTTGAACTCGATGTTAACTAAAAATAAAAAAGTGAACTGATTCAGATCTTCTGAAGTAGTTCTTCCAATGTCCAATAAAAAAAACTAATTTGTAATAATTAAAAATTACTTAATATAATTTAACTGTCTTGATTTAAAAAGTAAATGAATTTCTTAAACTGTCTTATTTCATTGGAATTTGATGTAAAACATAAGTCATTAGAAGTAAAATTTCAATTAAATAAAATAAAAGCAATTACAACCTGCTTATATTTGAAACAGCATCAAAGAATTTTTTTTTCTTATTTTGAGACTGAAAGAAGTACAGATTACCATAACTAAAATAAACATTGGTTGGACTCTGCTTTTAGCATTATTCCTTACTCTTCAAAATCTAATTGTGATAATTAATGAAAAAAATTTCATGAACATTACAGTTTAAGAATGCCCCTACAAATTTTAAGCTGAATAACTAATGGCTTCAATAATCTAGTAATTTACAACACATTACATCTGTGACAAAATTTCAGGTATATGCAAAAATTGTGGGTGTGGCAAGAAGATGCAAAGAAACCCACAGTATAAAGCAGCATGTCCACTGCTAGTGCCTCACAAACTGCCGCTTGTCATCTGCTTTTCTCTTTCCATAAGGATTGTTGTCGCTGAATCCGTGTCTACTTCCATCAACTTTACGCATTTTCTTCCTTTGCTTACTGCTGTTTATGTTCAGTGTAACGTTTGGTGGATTTGAGAAACAAAACGAAGTTGCAACGGCCTGCTCAAGTACCAAAATTGGTGATTATCATAATGTATGATTCATGCTATACTATTCAATTAATATGAATTATAAGTAATAACTCTTTCTTTTCCCATTTAATCTGCACCTCATTATCAAGAAAAGGTTATCAAAACCATTAAGTTTCTCAGTTTAGAGTATGTCTAACATGATATGATATGTCCTTTAACCTTTCAAGCTTCCTGTGGATCTATATGCTCCTTCCTTAACTATTAATGTTTCAGTAATTTATTACCAGCCATCTATTTCAATATGCCCATTTTCCCCCCTATCCTCAAAATGAAAGGAAAAGATAAGAATAGTAACATGATTTAAAATGCAGGTGCAATAGCAGTGCACGATTTGCATATAAATAAAGGGTGTTACCTAGATCAACTTAAGATAATGCATCCCGTACAAGTTCATATTCATGTAGTTCTAAATAACATGAAAGATAGTACTAAAATACAAAAGGTAACATAAAGTGACAGCTGTACCTGAAAATCAAGACGGTGAACATTGAATATATCCTTCATGGAATGTGAATTATAAGCTAATATGTATGATCTATAGGCCTCTTTCGCCATCTTGTTCAAATAAAAATTGTTGACAACCAAATTCTCCTGTGTTATCAGGACAATCCTTGGTAAGATTGCAGTTGATTAACGTATAAAACACATTTTAAATAAGTATAAGGAAAGATACGTACCAGGTGAGATTGTACGTTTGCAACTTTCTTTTCATCATATGCATACTCTTTAACAGGGACCTTAGCTGCCTGAAATTGGGCATAAATATAAAATTATTATTATTATTAGGGAAAACTGGGTATAATTATTTAATTATTTACCAAAATGGGCTTAGAGTCTTGGGGCCTGGCCAGGGAGACTAGCAACCACTGTTTCCCACTTACATTATATTCTAGGCATGAAAGTCAGAGGGTTTCCTGGAGGAATATATTTTGAAATCCTACTTTTTTGGATAAGTACATGCATAAACTAGAATCCTCAACTAAATTATAATTCAGCATCAGCCCGCTTACCAATCCATACTGTTAAATGAGAAAAACTAACCTTCAGGTAGCGGAGAAATTGCAATTCTTCAGGAATTAGGAAAAGCAAAGCATTTCCTTTTCCACCTTCACCGCGAGCTGTTCTACCGACCCTGTGGATATATTCCTGGTAGCATTACAAATAAACAATGTCATGCTGTACACCAAACATATGAAATTGCTATGACTCAAATGAAAGCTACCTTAGGTTCATCAGGTGGATCATACTGCACAATCCAGTCCTACAACACAAATAAGGAGAAAAACAAACACAAATTTTATATATTTAATGGTTTTCAATTAACAGAACAGAATGCTGCATAAATAAGCACAGAAAGCATATCAAAGATATTAATTTACAAAGACAATCTAACTGGACAGAATTTTCACCGATAGCATTGTCATTGCTTCCGTTAGTGAGATAAAATTATTTCTCGTACCTAGTTATTATACTAAGTCAATGGTTTAGAGGATTGTCATTGGACATGCAGGTATATCATGGGCATTGATGGCTTGACATGATTTACACATTGACTCTGATTTTATACTGTTTTATGAAGAAAATTTGTCTATCTTTGTGTACTTTTCTATTTATTTCTTGAAGGTGTATTATGTTGCCTCAATTTATTTTAGCTCGTCATTGGATTGACGCTGATTGATTGCACGTCGCTGGGGAGGGTTTGGGGTGAGGGGAACATTTTTCAATCAAGAAATACTCATGCAAGTTAATAAGGAAAATGAATATACCACAGCAGGTATGTCAAGTCCACGAGCAGCAACATCAGTACATAGTAAGATTCCCTTTTCTGCTTTGCAAAAATCAAAAAAGGTAGTTGTCCGGGTCTGCTGCTTTTGCTTTCCATGAATACTTGAGCAATTCAATTGAATGAGATTAAGAATGTCTGTGTGGAATTTGACAGAGTTGCATGAAGAGAAAAAGACCATCACTTTTTTTGACTGGTGTCTCTTCAAAAAGGAATAGAGAACAATAAAGCGCTTGGCACAAGGTACAACAACATAACCCTGAAGCAACCCTTCGTTGGTGACCTGCACTTGCAAAGGGGTAATGATGATTATAATAATAACTACTATAAACAGAATTCAGTTATTAAGAAAAGGTTGAGACACGTTACCTTGTTTCTCCCGTCATCCACATCAATATAGACCGGAGTAGTCTGAAATGACAAACGGGCAAGATCCTCGACCTGTATTTTAAGGGGGACACACATTTCCTTATTTTACTTTGAAGTAAACCATATATTATTGAGCATCGGAATTCTAGTATATCAAATAAATAGGAAAAAGAAATAGGGAGAACTACACATCCATTATCAAGTAATGTACCGAATATCAAATCCTAGTGTATCCAAGTATATGTATGTAAAAAACATTAAATATTGAAAACAATTAAATTAGGATATTATCTCAAAGAAATAGATGAAGGATGGAAAATGAAGAACAAACCTTCTTTGTTTGTGTAGCGGAAAATAAAGCTGTTTGCCTACTCTGTTGAAAGAGAAACAGATTAATTGGTCAAACTTTCGGATATTAGCTAAAAGACATACAAAATATAAACTTATAGATGCCCTGCATAAAAATGAGCAAGATGATAAGACGTACTTAGAACTATCAGAAAATAAAATTTATAAGTTGAGGCAAAAACACCAGTAGTTGTTGGCGGCGTATCCAGTTAAGTGCAAGCGTCTTCTTACATTCAAAGTTAATAGATTCCTAGGCAGAATGCATAATTTTACTTTTCCTCTATGATACGAGAAAGAAGGTATTTGCAAACTTATAATTGTCTATGTCCTTTTTTATAGGTGTTTCTCCAGCTAAACAATCCAATACAAATGGAAAATGAGAGAGGAATAGTAGCAATTTCAGGACACCATATATTCATAGGTTCATGCATATGGAAGGGAGAGGAAAAGGGGAAATAAGTTCTGTATACCTTTGGAAGGATCTTAATAATCTGTTTCATTTCCTCCTCAAAGTTTGCTTCTAAGATTCTGTCAGCTTCATCAATCATGAGG